GATAATTCTCGAAGATTCGGCACTCTTTTAGCACTTTGCTATCCGTTTTCACAATGTTTTTTTTTCGCTATACGTATCCCAGTACTTCTGACGTTCAATTAATTTTCATCTCCCTATTGGACGTAGCACTGTTGTGCGCACTCACTCTGCAATTTCAAGGATAGCCTAGTATGGCGTCCCATAAGGCGTCCGTGGTTGACTGCGGGAGAATGTTGAGAGATGGGGTTCGGCTAAACGCGCGCCGCGATGAGCATCGCAACACTCGCCATGGTGCCGCCTCTCGAAGACTTGAGATCCGTGAATGGACTCTACGTTGTGAGTGCCAATTGAATTCTAAAAGACATTATTTGAGTTTCCTGCTCTAGCATAACAAAAAACTTGAATACGAAGTTTACGGGATGTTAGTTAGTCGGCGGCTTTCTGAGAGGTCAAAATGCCCCTATACCGCTCCCTTTCTTCCGTCTAATTCCTCTTCTATGTCGTTTTTTATGCTAATTGAAGATAATCTGTAAAGAATGTAACATGGTTTTGAGCTGTTAAATGGTCTAGCGGTATGCGGGCGCACGTTTACTCCTATCGGGACTCATCAGTACCACACCCCCTTGGTTTGGCGATCCCCTGAGGTTAAATAATCTCGATAAAAGAACGACACGGAGTAATAAATCACCCAAAGTCAGATGATGGAGTTACTCGACATTGTGGCGGCCTGCAGTCGACCTCGTTGGTACTGCTTAATATTATAAGTGACCAATGATTTATTACATGGCGTCATTTCCTTTGAAAAGGATCGGCTGATCCGAGGGAAGTGCTACTATGAGTTTCAATAGGGCGAAACAGTCCCCTGTAAACCAGTAGACCTAATAGCCCTAAACATGTTATATCCTTATCAGATTACACCATTTTGAGCGGGTCTATATAAAAGCGGTCGATAGAAGAGACAACTGAAGATGCAGACGTGTGCTGTGATCTACGTAAGTAGAGAATCATCGAACTCGATGCGTTCTTTTTCTTACCATGATACTTCATGATCAGTGTCTTCTTCCTATTTAAGCGTTCTTCAGCTCTTTTCCAACTCTTTGAGTTCATTCGGCAAATCTTTTTTCACTGGCTTTTTCAAAAGAGGCAACGATGTGAAACGCGGAATCAAAGTGCATGCAAAGAGATGATTTATCTCTGCTGTGGGGACATAAATTGAAAGACTCACATGTTTAGCGAAATATTCCTTGTTCTCTGATATAAATTTCCACTTTTGATGTTTCCTATCGTGCATTCATTTTTGATGGCCGTTCCTGACCTGCCATCAAGTCTTCTACAACGAATTTGTGAAAGAATATTGTTTTGCTGATGGCTTCTCTGACATATTGTGGGACTTGCTCAGTTCAGCGTCATCATATCTACAAGTCAGTGAGCAGCAGTTGATGATACTGACCCAATTTTAGCACGAAAGTTGGAAACGAATGTTGGTCATCGCTCTGATAGTATCTCGGATGAAGCAGTTAGAAGGAAATATATAGCTTACAAAAAAGTCCAGCGCGTCCGAGATTACTTAACAAAAGCTTTCTTCTATGAGTGAAGAGGTCTCCGTCATACAGTCTACGTAGGTTGGTCATCCTATTTCTCGACTCTTGTAGGATGATTGCGCGAAGCTTAAGATAACCAGCGTCCTCAAGGCAAGCCTAAAGGTCCGCGTTTAAAGAGATCTTTCTTGGTGTTGTAGGTGCAGAGAATGAAGTAGTCGCTGTGGCGCTGAGAGTGTTGTTTTCGTACGCTTCCAATGACATCTTATGCAACTCGTGATATGATCGCCATTCACCGGTTGTGTCACCACCCAACGTGGGTAACAGTATCGGTCAGTGCTCAAACCAGTGAGGCCGAACTTTCGCCTTTGTAGCTGATATTCCTTTAGGGAGTTGCAATGTAAGCTCAACCGAAAATTTTTTCAGGCCGCTAACATGAAAAATCGCCTGGTCTCGTGAATCAGAAGGTGATAGTAAAAACGAAGAGATTGAAATTCTTTTTTATATAGCTCGAAAGCGACAAAAAGCAATATGTAATGCAAAATATCATTACATGCAAAACATTTTATTGGGTGGTTTTTACGGGACCATGAAGACTGCGACCTTTGTACCTAAAAAACGCTTTTTTTGAATGTTGCTAATTTATAATTCAGATTTGCTAATTTCATGTGGTAATGGGACGATGCACTGTCGGGAGAGTAAAGTGGGTGAGGTTATTGCCTTCTAAAACCTTCCAGCTCAGCTCTTTTGTGAGATTTTTGATCGGTAATTTAGCAACATGAAGTCGAGCGTTATCATACAGCAAAATTGCATTTGGCGAATACACAGTTGCGAAAGGACGGCTAGGAAGTGAGTCACGAAGGAACTTGAAATTTTGAGAGGAAAGTCTGTAGAGGAATCTGCAGGATCAGTCTGTCTCGAGCAGCCCACAGGAATTTCCACTAATCATTCGTTTTCACTACCCTCCCGTTCCAACGAACAATTCGTGCATGAGTAGCAAACGAATTTGTACCCACGGCAATACCATTTTAAAGCAGGATAGGCAAGTTGTATACCAAAATGTTCGCAAGAAAATGCGCAACTGAACGTTATCAAGATCAAGGAATTTTCATGTGCTCAGAGTAATAAATCTGCAGAGTAAAATTAACAAGACTTTCAGGTACAAAAGTCGTCATCAAAGTCCTATAAAAAACTATCACAAAAACATTTTATCCATAAAATCATATAAATCAATAACGTTTTCGACGCACTTTCAAACTTAAATGATGAATATGCATATCTATATTCTTGCTACTACTACAGCAAAAAAAAAACTGCGGATTCATATTTTTACAGCTAATAACTCGTCTTCTGATTGAAAGAGCCCTCTGCTGACGGCGTCCTTAACATAGGCCTTTTTTCTTCAGAAAGAGTATGGTTGTTTGAAGAAATATAAAGGGAAGGACAATATATAAATGATAACAATGCTAAGATACCAAGAGCACTGCCTCATGAGAACAGAGCTAAAATGATTTCAATCCACAATTTTTAGACTGTCGTTATATTTCAGTACAAACGAGCTAAGACTAAACAATTTAAAAGGCATAGAATTAATAATTTTCGCATGACCCGTCATCACATAAACTAAATGGATCCCAGCATTTCCATTTGAATTGTTTTCTTGAATTCATTTCCCACAAACCGCAACGAACATGTCGCGCGTTCTTCCGCTACTACTTGAGTATTTCGTCTTTCTATGAAAGTCGCAGAATGCTAGTCGAGAAGATTCTACTTGTGGTCTTCGAGACTGAGGGTCTCCATTTGAACTTATGGGCGAGCGTATCAGGAAGAGCTCGAGCTATACTTCCCGAAAACATGGATCATTGACCGCTACTCAGTTCTTTGTACGTAGCCAATAATTTGAAAATTTTATTTGTCCAGTAAATTATTTGAGGTGAAAATTTTCAGTAGCTTGTTTCAGGTGTTTTACATCTGGTGTTGGTCGTGAAACAAGTAGAAATGTATTAATGCTTGATAAGAGCCAGGGAGGCAACACGTTAGTTTTTTCCGAGATACCAGATATACAACATTCACATGTGTTTTTTTCTTGACTAAGCGAAAAACACGAAGTTGGTGAAAAATTTATTTACTGAGCAGACATCTCGACGTGTTTCGTCTTCCTCAGAGCTCACTACTCCGAGCCGATGATTCACAGTCTTCCGTCCTCGTTGTGGAGAGGGTGCACCGCTCTAACGAGAACTTCAACAGCGGCGCTCCTTTTAGACGCGATGGTTACTGATGATGCTGATTATCCATTAATAATATTTTGTTTTCTAACAGACAATTCGTCTTGCAGTAGTCGCCATATTATTCGTTTACACTCAGTGTCATGATAATTTGAAAACCGACATTCCTTTAACTTCAACAATTACAATTGATCACGTGTTCTGTCTTGATCAAGCGAAATTTCGGAGTTGGCTTACTTGATCGATTGACGTTTGTGGCAAGCTTCGCATTCTTCGGAACCTCTACTGCACACTTGACTTGATTGTCATGGCAGGCTAGCGCGAGGAAGAGCGAAGTGAAGCATCGGCACAAATCGATTAGCGCCAGAGGACACGAAGCACGTCGAAAAGTCTGTCGAGTGAAAATAACCTTATATCAAATTAGTGTTTTTCTTTTGACCATGGAAGGAAATAAGATCAAATGATAATGCCGGACTTTAAAAAAAAGTCGGTTGGTAGCTTTCCACGAATAACCTGGTCGGCTATTATGAAACTGAGAATATGTTAGATCTATCTAGGTAAGATAAAAAATAAACGATTATCTCATTTATTTTCTACTCCTTGATGACAGGGAACTCTTCGTTTTTTTTTTCATACTTTCAATAACCATTCGACAAAATGAATCTTGATGGTCTTGACATTGAACTCAAATCCTGAAGGAAACTTTTCAACTCCGTTCTGGGAACGACTATAAAATTAAGTTTCACACAGCGGTTTTTCGCGCGCCTTTTACCTACCAGGGTTTTTCCCTTAGATTTCCAATATTCATTCGATAGAATAAATCTTAGCTATTTTTAAAGTGTACTTGTTTTCTGAAAAGGTGTTAAATGAGCTGTAGTGGCCAAAAGAAGATTTCCGTTCATGTTCGTAGCGTTTAATCGTACTTCCTGCCGAGTAAACAAAAGTTAAAAGCATTACATAACAGATTTGTTGAGCAAGAGTTGTGGGATGCTTCTAATAAAGTTGGTGAGGCACTAGAGCTCACATATGCGTGCATGAAAACCAGATTTTCTGTGCTCAAAGAAACTTTTATGTTTCGTAAGATTCATTTGTATGAATTAGTTGACTGTGAGTGAGCATCGTGAGCGGACAAACTAGGCTGATACAACTTGATTCATTGGTAAACGAACAATGATTTTCAGTTGAGCGAAAAACCGAAAATAAAAATGATTGCATAACAATTATTATTCAATAGTTTGAAGTGCTGTGCAAAAACGTTTGCGTCAGCAGGGACTCGAACCCAGATCTCAATCTTTCCGGGAGAGTATCCTAACCGTTGCAACACCGACGCTCGTTTTGCTCAGCACTCTTCTTTACGCTACATCGCGTTGTCTGCCAGCAACCAACCGTCGACGGTTTGGCGGGGCAGCCGCTATCGGCATTGAACCCACTTGTGTTGACAGACATTGGGTATCGATAATCAGTCGGAACTTTTTTATTTGACTGCCACTTGCAGTGGTATGATGTTACAATATACCCAATAATATAGTGAGCGTCGGTGGTGCAACGGTTAGCATACGCTCCAGGATAAAGTGAGACCTGGATTCGAATACCGACTGACGCAAACGTTTTTCCGCAGCACTCCACATTATTGTGTAAACTGTAACATCATACCACTGCAAGTGGCAGTCACATAAAAAGAATCCTACCTTTATTTCGAGTGCTTTGTTTAGACCACACTCAAATTTCAATAGATCCTTTCATTATTATTTGAACCAACTTGTAATGTGATCTGGTAAGGGCTCTTCTATAGCCCGATACACTTGTTTCGTCCTTACAGACTCGTCAGCCGGGCATAATCCGTCGTCCTTCGATCCATAGTCATTTCTCTCGTGAGCCTTACACTCCTAATAGACAGTCATAGAAGACGTACGTTTTACACTCTATGTCAAGTGAAATTTTCACCTAGCACAGAGTGTTGCGCACTACCAGACCACATGACAAGTTGGCTCAAATAATAATGAAAGGATCTATCGAAATTTGAGCGTGGTCTAAACAAAGCACTCGAAATAAAGATATAATTATGATAAAAGTACCAGTCAAAAAGCAATCGAGTGCGTAACACTTTGTGCTAGGTGAAAATTTCACTTGACATAGAGTGATAAACGTACGTCTTCGATGACTCTCTATAAGGAATGTAAGGCTCCCGAGAGAACTGACTATGAGAAGGTCGAAGGACAACGGGTTCTTGCACGGCTGACGAGTCTGTGAGGACGAAACACGTGTATCAGGCTGTACAAGAGCCCTTACCAGATCACATGACAAGTTGGCTCAAATAATAATGAAAGGATTAAAAATTCTGACTAATTATTATTCAGCAACATTATTTACACAATAACGATATTGGTCTATGCAACAGAAACTCGATGTATGACTCAAATAAGTAGCTTAACGCCGAAGCTTTACTCCACTGATGATAAGGTTAGAAGATGGAGCATATGATGAACGAACAGCGGTAGTGTTGCTATGAAGCAGCAATGTCATCACATTATCTTGCTTGAAAATGATAGTGTAAAAAAGATAGATAAGATAGGGATGAATGGGATACTGTATAAAGTGACACCTTTATTATATGACTCACGGAGCAAGATAAGAATATACTTGAAGTGAGAAGGCATCAGTGTGAGACAAATGCAAGAATGATATCGTGGCGGCAATTAGTGTACAGGGCAGGAGAAAATAGCAGCTATTCGGAGGAACAACTGCTATTGGCACAATATGTAATGAGTATACCCGGTGATGTAGAGTGATGTGCAAAATTTTCTGCGTTAGGCTCGACTCGAACCCACATTACACACTATCTGAGAGCGCGTGCTCTAACGCGTTGCACTATTGACGCTCATTTCGCACACCACTTTTTCTGAGCTGACTGTCTTCTATCTGTCAGCCGCTAATCGCCAACGGCCTAGCCGGGGCAGTCGGTATCGACATTGAACCTCAGTCACACTGATAGATATTGGGCATTGGTGATCAAATGAAATTCTTCTTTATTTAAGCGCTTTTTTCCGCGTTCAAGTCCAGTCTGAGGGAAAACGTTTTCGAAAATCGCTCTGCATCACTTGGTATATTCATAGCACCATACTGCCGCCAAAAGAAACCTTAAATAAAGGAAAATTCCATCTCATCAACAATATGTTATTTTGGCCTTTATCACGATACACATCAGTGCGCTGTTAGGGTGGTAGGCATCATCAATAATCTTCCAGTTTCGCGAGCCGCTTTTCCGCAAAGCCAGATGATCGGTGGAAAATTAGACTGAAAATTGACTGAATGAGGCGAATAGATGTGGAATGATTCTCATCACCTGACAGCAAGAATGAAACTAAGTTTGTTCATAAGTAATGAAGCACATAGTGTTCTCATTGACAGTCGAACTGCCATCGTCATGTGGCGGGTTGAACTGCCGCTGCCGGCGCTGCTAATGATATTTCTATAATGACAGTGCTTTCACAAAAATTTGCACAGAATTCGTATTCTTTAACATGCTCCACGCTATTTTATACTTTTAGTAGCATGTGGCGACGTCCTGGGCTCCTCATTTCTTTCTGATGCGCATTTAGCGAAGTTGACTTTGCGTACCAGATTCGGATTTTCCTCCTACAATGATCTAAATCAGAATTCATTTTATTTGACCGCTTATTGCGGTGGTATTGTTTCAATATACCCAATAATGTAGAGTGGTGTGCAAAAACATTTGCGTCAGCTGGGATGCGAGAGTAGATTTCACTCTTTCCAGGAGCGCGCGCTGAACCGTTGCACTGCCGACGCCCGTTTCTCCGTTTTACCCTCGTTTACTTCTAAATCAGATACTGAAATTTTGCCCAGAAATGGATTTTGAGCAGAGCTTTTGAAAGATGGACAATTGTTGGGAAGCCACTAATATTCTGAATGAAAAAAATCTCACAATGTGGTTCTCCTCTTCTTTGAAGGATATCTCGCCAGCGTTTATCACGGTTTTTTGAAAAAAGAGCCCTGCTCTGAATAAAACCATTCAATTCAAAACACCTTTTCAAATTCAAAGAAGAAAAGGAATCCCAATAAAAATATAACCTGTGTCTTATCCAACTGTGACTCTTTAAGAATTGGTCCATCTTGATCATGGGTGATCCTGGCGTCCATCGAAATAAAAGACTGGAAGTATAATATTAATTCCAAAAAGAGAAAGATTTACATTGAAAAGTGCACGGAGAACGTGCAACAGCATATACCGTGAGTGATACAGTTGAGGTAGCAGAAAGATTACCATGGTAATTTCAAGCATAAGATGGGATGTAAGCGAGGAGTAAAGCGAAGTTATGACGCTGCTACTCGCTTGTATACTTTTTATCAAATCTTATCATCAGCAATCTCACCTGTCCATTCATTCTATAAAAGCGTCTAGAAGGAAACTTGCATGTTTAGCGAAATTCAGGTCGAATCGCGATGTCGCTCGTAATCAGAGCGTATCCGCCGTCGTTCCCATGTTTTTATACGCGATTGCGTCTTGCAAACTTCTTCATGCACCTGATCAAAATTTGGAACCTCTGAAATCAAAGATCAGCAACTTTTCACATGTTTTAATTGTAACACCACTGCTTTGAGAGGAGCGACTTACATAAGACAGTGCAGGATAAACACGTCTTTTCGAGGAAGATTTCTTCAATTATTTTTGCTATTCTAAGATGTTTAAGAACTTGAAAGTGCACATATCCTAACGCGTGAAGGAATTCAATAAAAGTCAACATGAAAAACTAAGACGTAAGACCGGAAAATTGGACGAAAAAACCATTAGATCCTAGCAGCAACATGTAATCTGATAGTTGAAAAAGGATAACACCTAAAAGTGTCAAAAACGTCCTGTTGTGAGCAGTTCAAGCGGCTGCCATCTGCGATGTATCACTTCGAGTCGCCAGCTATGAATGAAATGCCTCAGCCACAGGTCAACATTTTAGGATCGCTGTTGTTAACAGGACGCCGTCGCGCTGGCTGCTCGACCAGCAGTTGGAAACGTAATCTCCACAGTCTTGTAGATCGCAATATATTTTGACTTTTATTTTCATAAGAGCGATATTGTTATCAGTACAAGAATATAGATGCAGAAACTTTCATGAAGCTATTTTTGCTTGACACAGGCAAAAGCAGCTCCAAAATAGTGGGTTATCTGCCATAAAAAACATTGTAGATTGCAATATGGTTGCCACTTCATCAACTAATTTTGACATGTATCCAATTATCAGCATACTTAATAAGTTCAAATTTCTACAGATTTACCAAGAAAACTTTGTTTCATTGTCTGTGGGTGATAACTTCTTGAATATCCACTTATACTCACCTATGAAAATTATCCATCGCTGCATAGTTGCGAAAGATGTTGCTTACGTATTGGGAATTTGAGATTTCACGACTACTACCATTTCCTCCTTCTTTGCTTAAGATCAGGCCTATCTTTCATAATAGTAGGTTGGAAACAAAGTTCGGGTATTTGTAGAAAATTGAAAATTTACACATGAATTTCTAAGCAAAAGCTATAATTACTCCCAAGACCGACTATCGATTAACCTCGACATTGATTGAAACATTCCGTGATTATCCTTGCTTCAGCAAACACGAGGTTGTCAATGCACGTTTATTGTGTATAAAATAGTACAATAGAGATCGCATCGATGGACAACGTTTCGGCAGTCTTGCCTTCCTCAGAGACTGAGAGAGTCCAGCTGACCTACAACAACTTAGTCAAACATTTCCATAACTAAGGCTGAAAGGAAGGAAAGAGGAAAAAACCTTTAAGCAAATTTGAAACGTAAATAATCAGCAGTATTTGACTGGCCGTTTGTTGTTATATTATTCACTAAATATGCAAACCGGTCACACTGAGTCTTACATGAACGAGGTGTATGCCTGGCTCAGATCCGTAAAAATCGATTCAAGATATGGCTCTAAATCATGCGTGATTAGGAGGCACTCATCTTTTACAATTCATATAAGGACCTTGGAATGAATCCTAAACGGTACGTAATAGTCGATAATGGCCTGAGTTTTTGAGGCCATTCCCTCTTCGAAGCGTAGGATTGAAATGACTAGCAATCTGCTCATTGGACCTGTGCCTAGGGCGGACACCCAACGATAGTGATTGCCGAGTGATCAAAAAGCGATAAGTGCAAATCATGTCTTTGGAGACAGCACAAAATCTAATCTTATATTCTCATGATGGTCAAGATCTCTTACTGAAAGCATATAATATTCAAGCATAAATCACGTTCGTTCAGGGTTGTTCCGTAGAACAGAAGTACCGATTCCTCTTCGTATCCTTAA